TTAATTGACAAATAGAGAATCTGAAAAGCTGCTTTGCTAAATGTCAGATTCATCAAAAATCTATCTCTGGAAGCAGCCTGCACACAAGCTGTAGAAATTTAATAAAGACACAGGTAAGCTCATTAACTCCCCAGGCACACTTACTGTATGCAGGATTAAAGCTGTGAGCAGTGTAAAAAGCAAGTGGAGAGGCTAGACGGAAAAGTATTCCATGCCTGGGTGTGGGATTGTGTGAGAAGATGAGCAATCACATGCACAATGGTAGCTTGTTGCAAATATTCGCAATGTCTACACCTCGTTCTGCTGAGAGCTAAGCTGCTTTCAAAAGCTGATAAAGGAAAAGCAAAATATGTGTGATTCTTGTCTAACTGAGGTTTCTTTCTAACCTCTATGTTTTATAGAGCCACCAAGGGGCGAAAGTAATGAGATGGCTTCATCCTTAATCAACTGAAAAGTCCTGAAAATGTTCATGATTTTTGGATTTCTCTGAGTCATATATTTTTCTTTCAGATGGTCTAAGAAACTGTCCAGTAAAAAGAAAAACCCACTAACTAACTTATCAAAAAGACAAACATCAAACTGCTGTGTCGCAGTGTCTCCCTGCCGTGTCGTGGCAATGAAGCAAATGCTTCTCAGAGGCAAAATAGTCTCGTCTTGAGAGATTTAATGTGATGGGCTGCTGTTATGTGTGCTGCATGTCAGAGAAAATCTTTGGGGCAGCAGGGACGTGTCACAAAGTACTTTCCATTAGGACAAACGAACAGCTGCTCAGCTGCCTGTCAGTGTAGCCACAACTGCCATCTGTATTCATAACACTTTGTGACAGACATCCAGGAACAATGTAAGCTGATCTTCAGTCATGTCTGTTTTTGTGTGATTGTACATGCTGCAGTCTTAAATATATGGTTACAATGTAACTGGAATCGTGCACATTTCTTCTTGTATTTCTCTGTTAGAGGACAGCAAAGATGGATCAGTAATATTGATATAGGTAATGGTTTACAGTATTGCACTCAGTGCAGACTAGGGCTGCCACAAACGATTATTTTGATAGTCGACTAGTCACCGATTATTTTTGTGATTAGTCGACTAATCAGATCATCATCCACTGGACGTAAAACAACATCTTATTGCACCAGCAGCATCTGCTCTTATATAACTATCATTAGCTTACAGCTTTAAGTGTTTCAGGTCTGTGCTAACTAAAAATAAAGACAAGATAGTTTATTAAATTTTAATTAAATGTGCAGATTGTTTTGGTGGAGTTTAATAAACTCAGCCAAACCGATTTACTCAGGAACAAATAAAATACTGAAAAAAGCCAAACAATAACATTTTTAAGTTATCTAAGTGACTCATATATCATGTTTAACCTGAGTAGCGAAAGACGGCGGTGGGTTTGAAAACGATTTGCCGGGAGTCCGGTGTTCTCACGGCTCTAGTGACCTAGCCCCCGGCTAGCTATCGAGCTAGTGGGTAACAGACGTCTCCGAAAACGTCGGAGCGCTTTTGAAAATATGTGGTGTCTTGATAAACTGAGCAGATATTTGAGGTTTACACAGCTACATTCTCGCCTGAAAATATGTTAAACGTTTATTTTGTGACCCAGAAAGAATAATAAGAGTAATATTAAAACTAACTAGCTGCCGCCATTGTTGGAAACTAAGCTGGGCCGCGCTATGAATTCTGGGACAGCTTTCTTCTTCTTCGGGGTTTAACGGCAGCTGGCATCCTTGTACATGCAGTGCTGCCATCTTCTGTTTCAGTCCGTTATTACACTCTTAAATCCTGCTATTATTCCTGCGTCTTTGCGATCTTACAAAGCTTCAAACGACGCGTCGACTATTAAATCAGTCGTCGACGATCCTGATAGTCGACGTAATCGTGACTAGTCGACTGATCGTGGCAGCCCTAGTGCAGACACATGTTTACATAGTTCTACTGTTTTTGGTCCTGATGTGTTAGCGCCATAGATCTGCACGAGGACAGGGTTACTGGTTTGAAACAGGCAAAAACTGCCAGCTGCCAATGAAAGACAAATTAAAGTCAGTATAAGAAAACGGAGGCTTTCTCTGTACTGGTGTTAATGAGGCAGAGCGCATTTAATGTTACTTGGTAAAGCTGACAGATGTGCATACTTTTCCAAGGCTTCACATCTCTGTCTCAGGCGTTTTGCCAGAAGTTTGGGTTTCTCTTGCACATCCATCTGTTGGAGAAGAGGTGGAATGAATGTTGTTGACAATGCTGAGATGAAGGTTTTGTGGTTCCATAAATCAACCAGCTGTTTGGCTTTGGCTTGGAGATGTTTGCTGCACGAGGTTAGACGTGCTCTTGAAATGAAGTTGAAAGAAAAACATTAATTTAATGATGAACAGTGTTTAGTTTTGCAGATATTTGACCGTAAAACAACGTGTTAAACAAATGTTCACGGCATTTTGACAAGGTGCATCTTTTTTCCTCCTTTTTAGCATCCTGAGGTACAATGTTCCGCTTAAACGCCACGATCTATGGCACGTTCAGTTTGCTCTGCAAATAGTTCAAATAAAGTACAGGCCCTACTTAATTCAGCCATCAGGCAAACCAAGAGCAGTCACAATACGTGCTTCTTCTGTTTGCAAAGTTTACTCTGTCATACAAGACCAAAGACACCAGTACAGAGATAATTGTACTTTAAAAGGAAAATAACGACGGATGTAAACAAAAGCTGGCATCGCAGTCATCAGGATGACGGCGCTGAAACTGTCAGCTGAAACTTGACGATATCAATTTGTTTATTTTTTCTTCTTATGCTGTTGTGCCTCAAATGACTATCACCCAATTATCTTCTGACAGCATGGCATTACCTAGAAGATTCATGGGCCAGATTATTGGAAAGTCAGACATAAAAAGAGATGGGAAGCAGAAAATCAATGGCAGCTTCTTTTTTTCTTGGACTCTTAAATGTCTGAAGTGAAGGGCTCTGATTTATGGTCACTGCCAACACTGACTGGTTGTCTATCTTTGCCTCTATCTGCATGTTTGAAGGTGTGTGTTTTCCTGCGTGTTGCTTATTAAGTCTCGGCGTGCATGTGTGTCCAGGTCGTCTTTTGTTCTCAGAGCCGCTGCTCTAATTGGATCTGTGTGTGGGTGTGGGAGTCTCAGATGCTACAGATAAAAACAAACTTGACTGCGATGCACTCTGACTGCTGTTGTCATTGCGCCCCCTGATCGTTTAAGTTAGTTGAGGCCAGGTGTTCTGCCCAGTAGTTAGTCATTTCCTTATACTCTTGGTTGTTTTGTGCTCCAGTAGGAACTGGACTTTTTTCAGTGGCAAGGCCGCGGCTCAGTGTCCACATCACACAGAATAACTTTTCTCCAAACCGCATGACTGCCTCACATCATTAAACCCCGTCTGACTGGCTATTGTCGGTGTGTGAGCTTCCGAGTGTGTCTCTGCCGTCCTAAGTCTAGACGTGGATGACGGCCACGCGAATAACAAGCAGTCGTTTCTGATCACGGTGCCTTGTGTATTTCAGGCCAAGATTTTGTGAAACTGCTTACACCACCTCAGGATTTCCCAGTAAAGCTAAAGCAATTTAAATTCCACCATCCCTCGCTTGTTTACGAGTGAGAATCGGGCCTTTTATGCCGGCAACTCTCTCCTATTTGCCTTTGTAGCAGCTGTTGGCTCGCGGGACAAAAGGACCAAGAGTACACGTGTGAGAATTCACATTCTTAAGAACACTGTGTTTCGCTTCTGTGTGCCCTAAATGACTGTGAATGGTTCACAGTGTTTTTTTTAAACAGGCTTTGGATGAATAAAAAGGGAGAAAAGAAAGGAAAGAGAAAAAATCAATGTTGGTCTCTCTTCAGATAAATGCACGAAGCCCGGCAGTATAAGGCAGTAAGAGGGTAATCTGTGAAACAACAATACCACGGGCTGACAAGAGACACAGTAATCTAGGCTGGACCAGAACTATCCTTAAACAGAGTGTTCTGTGTCTGAAAGATTACAGTGTGAGCTCTGACACAATAATGATCCCGACACACACACACACACACACACACACACACACACACACACACACACACACACAGTGTGATATTGTCACAGCGCTGCCTGCCTTCTTCAAGGGTAACCCTGATCACAATGCAGTCTTTAGCAGGAAGCCCTCCTGGCACCATCAATAAGAATCTGATTGAGGCCTGCTGCCAACATTGAGCCGTGAGGCAGGGAGTGACTGACACCGCAAAAATAAATGAGATGCGCTGTGGGGAATCGGCTCTGGAGACATAAATGGTGTTTATTGTGTTGCGTGTGCTGTGCATGCATTTGTGTCCCCGACGTGACCGCGCAGAATCTCCTCATCTGTTCTATTAACTCTTAATCACATGCTCTTCTTTTCTGTTCTGCCATTTTTTTCAAATATATAACTGTGTAGACAAATTGATTTTAGTGTTGCACGGGCAATATAGATTCATACAGAGTAATGTAAACATAGTTCATAGTTCTGCAAGCAGCGAGGTACCACACATTTTGCACACAGGAAAGTAAACTGAGATGCATGTGCTCCATACTGCTGCCTGCAGTCCAACCTTTAACATCATGCAATATAAATTTGTCTACTGGACTGTGCAGGAATGCAAAATGTAAAACTCTGCAGAAACATCTTTTTTATGATTTCCCTCCAAACGTGCTGCATTTCCTTGTGTGCAAATATGGAATAAGCGCTTTTTTTACTCAAATTAGAAACTGTATCAACTCGAGGATGTTAATTTGCCCTAATGTAGTCCACCGAAAGTAAATTTGTACCTGTTCACATCCAAGTCTGATTGGCTCAGTATGCAATAGCGCTGCCTCTGAAATTCATTTCACATTCAGTCTTTGAAGCCTTTAAAGTTACATGAATCTACGTCTTCGTCTCTGGAATCGCGCTGATTTGTTCTGTTATATTCTCTAGATTCGGGTCTCCTCGGCCGGCCTCTCAGTAATCTCCACTTGTTTCTGTCTCCCCTCACAGTTTGAAGCTCACGTGTATGAGGGCTCAACGGGCGTTGTGGTCAACCTGACGGTAGATGACAGAGACGATCCGGCCACAGCAGCGTGGAGAGCCATGTACTCTATAATCAGTGGAGACCCGACGCAGAGCTTTGAGGTTCAGACCAACCCGGACAACAATGAGGGGATGCTGTCGGTTGTCAAGGTAAAGCACTCTGTAAGAAACATTTGGATACGTTCATATATTCTCATAGATAATATAATAATATAAGTCTTACATTTCTAATCGTTGTCTCCTCTTAGCCACTGAACTATGAGGCGTCTGAATTCCTCAGCCTGCTCATCAAAGTGGAGAACGAGGATCCTCTGGTTCCCGATGTTGGATATGGCCCGAGCTCCACAGCCACCGTCCACGTCAGAGTCGAGGACATCAACGAGGGCCCTGTGTTCTTCCCAGACCCCCTGATAGTCACCAGGATGGAAAACATCCCTGTGGGAAGCTTTGTGGCATCACTTAATGCTACAGATCCGGATATATTAGAGAAACAGAGTATTAGGTAAGCAGTTTTTAGACATACTTTTGTGGTAAAAGTGCAACAAAGTCAAAAAGTGACACAGCTGCAAACTGTGGATCATCTTGGGTAGAATAAATGATGCAAGCGAGGTGATCTGGCAGGGAAATAGTAACTCGCAGTTTCAGCCCGTAGATCATCACCTTCCAGCTGCTTTGACATCTCACTCCGTCAGTCCTCACCTGTCTGCCTGAGCCGTCGCGATCCCATCTTTGTATCGCCAAATACGTCCGATCTTCCCAGCGTTCCCGGTTAGTTCGTTTTATTTGTCTGCGTAAACAGATATACTGCCCGGATAATGTGCACTTTATTGGCACAGGCCAAACTGTTCTCCCCAGTCAAGTGAAAAGTCCCAGAATCAGACAGCTCATTAACTTTAACTCTGTTACAGAAGAAGCCCTCAAATATCACCATCATCATAACTGCAGGGCTATTAGTTGCACCGTGTGCCACAATAAAAATTATTCCTCTTGCTGCCAGAGGGAGTCCCATAGTTTGCTCTGTACTTACATTTTACAAGATAAAAAGTCATCGCTGCATTTATTGCCTTTCAGGCCTAATTTCGACTCGTGTTTCTGCACCTTTGCAGCTGCATGTCATATATAAGTAAACACATGGGGCTATTATAGACCGAGGGCAATAAAACTCATCAGATCATGACTTTACTGCCCAAATTATTGATACTGCTTTATGTGCAGTAAAACGTATTCGCTGTGGCCGTGTTAAATGCTACAAAACATGGATTTATTATTGGATAGCGTGATAGAGTCAGGACCTCTACCAATGAAGCTTTGATAGCTGCTTGCCTGACATCACCCCCCCCTCTATGATCCTATAAATATTGGAAATATTGGATAATACAAACTAGCCCCAAATGACAGCTTTAGAAGTACCAGGGAGGTCATCGGTGGGTTTTTACAAGGAATATGAAGTTTGCTTGTTTTCTCTGTACATGTCTTTACTCTTTAAATAGCCGCTGTGTAAGCTTTAAAATAAACTCTTTATAGCAAAAGAAACAAAAGTTGAAGTAAAATGTAGAAAGAAAACAACAAAAGCTGGAATCCAAGACAAATACTTGTCAAAGTCAAAGCACCCATCTGTGCAGCACAGTGCTCTTTAACAAGGATAATGATCTGTTTGAGGCTGACAGACCGTGAGCTTGGCAGTATTTGGTGACAAACAACATTATTAGACAGATCAAAATGTTGGCGATGGCCCGACATGTAAAGTTTGGGGATCACGGGAAAGCCATCCAAACCTCACTGTGGAGCATCCAGACCATCAGACTCGAGTCCCTGTCTGAGTCCATCACAGGTATACGTGGGAAGCTAAAGTAATGTGATAACAGAGTTAAGCATAAAGCCTGGGACTGACTAAATATATCAAACTGTGTCAGAGTGAGGGTGGTCTCAGCATTAAAACAATATTCAGCAGCTTTACTGGTATTTTTGTCATTTCACGTTACATTTCGACTGCATCGTGTCTGCAGCTGTTGGTCTTCGGTAACCTGGTTACCACATTATCTGTTCCTCCAAGAGAAAAATGTGTTGACGCAAGCCTTGAGATTCTCCAGCATGTTCTCATTAAACTACAGCACAGCTGGGCTACTTCCTGTTTGACTCAGGATAGAGAACGTCTGTTTTGTGTGGCAGGCAGGAATTGGACCCAAACGCAAACTCACGGGGGATAAACTCAAAAAGCACAGCTTTATTGCTGGAAAAACAGCTCACAAGTTATAGAAAACTAAATATAAAGCTCACCAGGAAACACAGGGAGACTCACACACAGTCATGAGGGAGACGTGGACCTAAATGCACAGAGGGTTAACGAGGGCAGTGGGAGCACACGGGGAACACAGCTGACACAGATAATCGTAACGAGACAGGGCAGGAGTGATACAACATGACGCATACTGACGAGAGACTGTCAAAGTAAAACAGGAAGTACACAGAGGTGCAGACAGGAGGAGAGAGCACGGACATAACGGGCTGGGGAAAACATTGAATGAAACACAAGGAGGGGAGACGAGGGCTCACAGATCCACAGAGGGGCACACAGGGGGTAAAAGTCACGAGGGCAAATCAAATAAGGAACAACTTAACAACCCAGGAACCTAAATGAAGAACAAAATACCAGAAAACTAAGAATGCTGGGCCAACATGGCCCAGGATCACGACACCTACTGCTGTGAAATATTGCACTTTTCCTTATATTTTCTTATCTATATATCTCTGCCTATTTACATCTTAGGATACAAGATATTAAGATAAATGGGGACACGGTGGGCCGGTGAATCTTGCAAAGTGCCTCTAATTGAATATAACTGTATAATATTACTGAAATCACTATAATAGGTCCCTTATAAGCTATAGTATGTTGATCATTTAAAAGCTTTTGGTGATCTTTTATTTTTTCAGTTTTTCTTTGTTTTTTTACATGTTCTTTGAATCTTTTATGTAATAAATCTTTCATCTTCTAACTTTATCCCACTTTGCTCATCTGATTTTCAGCATGCGTTTTATATTCATTTTTATGGACCCTCTGTTTATTGTCATCTCACCCTCTTGACATTTTGGCAGTAACACTGACTTTGAGTTGTCATAACTGTGACCTGCAGACAGGTTGAGGACATAGTGAAAGACAGACATTTGGAGAGGTGGGAGCAGAACGGTGTGCATAGAATAAAACGGCATTATAAAAAGCAGGAGCTTTCTTTGGCTTCTTCTCTCCTTCCCTGTGTGCGTCTGCATAACAGTGCAGGTGTGTGTGCGTTTATGTGTATGTCCAGTGTGTGTGCCGCCCTGGGTTGAGTAGGTCAAATGCATTTGACGTGGAACACAATTCGTCTGATTCGCTGGTGAGAATCTGTAGCACTCAGTGCCCAGTGCACACATGCATGCCTGAACACCAGGCTGCATTTATTCTATCCATCTATGTGGCACTTTGATAACATTAAAGGTCATGAATCCTCATAAACCTGGAATTAATCCATTAAAAATATATATTTCTGGATGTCTGTCCCCTCTTGGACAGCTGACATCAAGCTAACTAGACAATAACAATAGCTGGTTATAAGCTAACATTTTGTTAGCTAATGTTAGCCTAAAAATGACACTTTCTCTCAGGTAAACGGCGTACATTCTCACTTTATATGAGAGTTTATTCCCTGAGTGCTTGAGGCTGTTAATGTTCAGTCCAATTTAAAGAAAGTTTCTCTAATGCTGGGTAACAGCTGCAAAAAACGCAGCGCTTACCTGCAGATAGGGCTGCCAACTCCCTGAAAAATAAATAAGGGACACCTCGTGGCCAGGGCCGGGCAACCCAGTTGTCTTCACCCTTCCCAGTGTGGTAGCTCTTTTTTTGTGTGTGAAATTATTTTTTAACCATTTGACTTGAATTTGATTTAAGGAGATGCATATTCTTTGTGATATGACCATATGGGA